GTTCCCTAGTTGAAGTTTTAAGAAGGAGATCGAATGTTAGTGAGGCGGATGAGGGTTGTTTACGAGGTGGTTCTGAAAGGACAAAATGGATACTTGATGCCCTTGATTACTGACTGAGCTGGCTTTTATCCTCATCGGGTCCGGTACCGATAGCATATGGGAAGTCGTTTCCTGTTTTGGTTCTGTCCAATCTGTCTCTTTGGTCATGAGGTCATGACTAGCAATGTCGACCTCAACCATTGTTCTGAAGTGAGTGACATCTTGAGAAACAGGGTGTCACAGATCCAGGAATAGCGCTGGAGATGACGCAGGTGTGTTAATGAAGTATACTACTGCTGCGGGCTCTCTGACGCGCACTCTTAATGTTTTTGGCCCTTGATTTATTTATTCTATTACTCAATTATGGACTCTGTAAAGTATAATCAATTATTTTTAGAAAGTTAAAACTAAATTTCTAAAAATCTGGGCAGATTGTCCTGCTTTCTCAGTGACAAGCTGACAATTCCCCCCCAACAAAATTAGAGCCCCTTAAAAAGGCATAGGGAAAGAACTATATAATGCAAAGCAAAAAAAAACATCAAAGACATTACTGTAAAGAAAAAACTCAAAAACAGAAGGAATAAAAAAAGGAAAAAAACTAATCCTTCCTTTTGGTGGCTCTGTAATTCCTGAGGTGAATTGGTCCATCTGGGATGTTGGATTCTGGTAACCATTCATCCTGGTCTGCCGTAGCATTCTTGTATCTGACTAAGTATAATCTGGTGTCCTTACCATTTATCCTCTCCTTTTTATCTTTAAGGATTCTAGATACTGAGAGCTTGGAAGTAGGTTCTGGTTCTTGAATGGGGAAATCCGAAACTGGATAAGGTGCTTCATATGTCCTCCTATTGTAATGCTTAATGAGACTTACTGGGAATACAGGGTGTTTCCTGGACAATTTATCACTTAGTATTACTTCTACCGCATTCTTCCCGTGCAGCGCTTTAATTGGGAATGGTCCTACAAAGGAAGGTTTGAGTTTCTTGTTGCCTCCTAAATTATTGAAGTTAACCGTGGATAAGAGGACTAAATCTCCAATCTTGAAGTTGGGTTCTTTGTGACTTTTATCCCACCTGGCTTTACTATACTCTGCTGCTTGTTGGACACATTCAGCGGCATGTGCATTGGCGGCATCCAGCATTTTCTTAAAATCCAAGGCTGTGGGATGCACATGAGGGAGTTGTGCGTTAAGAGTGTCTTTAGGCATTCTGGGTATCCACCCTCTTTCTAAGACATATGGTACTTCCTTGGCAGAAGAGTGCTTGCTGCTGTTATAGGCTATTTCCAGGGCTGGAAGGAGGCTGACCCAGTCGTGTGTATACCCATCAGCATTCTTGTAATCTAACCCAAAGGCACAAAATCTCCGAAGCATATCTTCTAGGGTTTGGATCATCCTTTCTGCCAATCCATCAGTCTGTGGGTGATAAGCGGTTTAAAAGGCTAGCTTGGTACCTAGCATATCATGTAAATTTCTCCAAAACTCAGAGGTAAACTTAGGGTCTCTGTCACTAATTATGATTTTGGGAATCCCCACATCCGCCATAATGCGGTTCCAAAATAGCAGGGCTACCTCCATTGCAGTATCATCTTTGTGGTTAGGGATAAATCTAGCTCTTTTAGAAAATCTGTCCACCACCACTAGTACTGAGTTATATGAGTAAGCTCCTCCTGGGGGTAGTCCTGTAACAAAGTCCATATTAATAACTTCCCACCTGGACTTAGGTTCAGCTATCTTCTGGAGAAGTCCAAATCTTTTCCCTGTCTGCTTATTTCCTGTCTGACAGGGGTTACAGGAGGATACGTACTCGTGTACCTGATCTTTGAAGTCTTTCCACCAGGCAGTCTGACTAATCCTTTCAATAGTCCTCTCCTCTGAAAAATGTCCTGCACTGACACTGTCATGACACTCCTGCAAGATAGAGCTGATTTGGGCTTCATCACACAGTACCAATACACTAGAGTGAGTATTTCTATAATATAATAACCCATCTAACAATGTAAATTTTCCTTCGTGGTATGGTTTGGATAACCAAAGGGGTAGGCTGGCTATAAGTTCATTAGGAGCATTTTTATTGGAAAGAATATCTACTAGCTTTAAAAGTTCAGGTACGTTTGCATAACTGTCTTTGACTGCTGAGTAGAAGGCTTCGTCTAGGTCACAGGCATGAATGCCAAGAATAGGAAAATCACTGATTTCCTCTGGATCCCATGCAGGATTCTCTGGCGTGTTAGGCAAAGCCCACCTGCTCAAGGCATCCGCATTCTGGTGCTTAGCTCCTGGTTTATGCCTAATGGTCATAAGGTTTCTGTACTGTTGGATAGCAATCTGCCACCTAAGCATGTGTCTATTAGGAGTCTTCATATTCATCAGGGTTGTAACTGCTGTACAATCAGTAATGACCAAAACTTTACATCCTTCCAAGTAGTAATGCAATTTCTCTAAAGCCCAAATCAGAGCTAAACATTCCATTTGGCTTGCACCGTATCTTTTCTCAGAATCCTTTACTTGCCTCGAGATGAACAATATAGGTTTCTCAATGGGAATACCTTGCTCCTCAAAAATCTGATGCAATGCAGCTCCTAATCCATCCATACAGGCGTCAATGTATAGAATAAAAGGTTTAGAGTAATCTGGTTGGGCTAACACTGGTGCGGAGGTAACAAGCTCTCTGAGTTTCTCGTAATCTTTAACTCTGTGGTAAGTCATTTCAAAGATAACTTTAGGAGTGCATATCTCATACAAACTTTTGGTGATGATGGCAAATTGAGGAATATGTTGTCTGTAATAATTACAGAATCCTAGGAATGATTGCATTTCTGTGACATTCTGAGGCATGGGTTTCTGCAACACTGCGGCTACTCTATTCTGGTCTATGGCTAGGGTCAGTCCAGAAACAATATGGCCAAGTGCTTTCAGTTCACTATATCCAAATCTGCACTTCTTCATCGACATTTTTAGTCCAGCTGTAGCAGCAGTTTTAAGCACAGTAGCAATCTTTTCAATATGTATTTCCCAACTTTCAGAGTAGATAATGATATCATCAATGTATACCATCATCCAGTTTTGCCTAATGAAGGAACCAAAAATACTATCCATCATTCTTTGGAAGTGTGAAGGCGCATTCTTAATTCCAAATGGCATCCTAAGGTATTTGTAAACACCTAAGTGACAAATAATCCTCATAAACTTCCTACTATTAGGTTCTATCAGTATTTGGTGGAACCCTTTAAGCACATCCATTGTCGTGATGTATTTAGCTTTGGAGAGATTATGCAAAGCATGGTCTATCCTTGGTATAGGATAATAATCTGCTTTAGTGTGGTTATTAAGAGCTCTGAAGTCCCCTACCATCCTAGACTTGTTATTATGCCAGGCTATAATGACAGGGGTCGTGATCTCCACTTGTTCATTATGGCCTACTTTTCGTAACACCTTTAAATCAAGAAGCTCTTTGATATGGGTTTCCAGTGCTTCCCTAGACTTGGGGCTGGAGGGATAGGGCGCTTTACGGAGCATTGGTGGATAGGGCGTCCCACATGTGAGTTCTATTTTTATGTCATGGCCCTGAACATTTCCAATGGGGTGTTCAGTAGTGCAGAAAGCCTCTTGGTAATTGTAGCAGACTTTCAACACATCTAGCTTTTGATCTTCAGTCAATTTATCACTCACAGAGGACTGCGACAGATACTCAGTGTTGAAAGTATTAAGTTCTTTGAAGTCTCTTATTTCCTCTGCAGATGGAGCATCAGGGAGGGAAATATGTACATTACAAATCTGGTACTTTTTCTTCCAGTCACCACCTATAGTGTAAAATCTACTTTTGCTTTGAAAGATATCAATACCATAAAGGCAAAAGGTATCATTTCCCAATATTAAGTAGTCACATAAGGCGTCACTGAGTACTACAAATTCTATGGTGAGGCGCAAGGATCCTTTAGAATGAGGGAAGACAAGGGGCATGATCACTACTCCTAAAGTCTTCATAGCTGAGTTGCAACTACTAAATTTGGCTCTTGGTGTAGGAAGCAAATTATCCTTCCACAAGGGGTACACTTGGTCTAAGAATTTACTACTGGTACAAGAACAAAAGGCTCCAATATCTAGGAGTGCTTTCACTGGTTTGTCCTCAAATAGTACCGTGGTGTAACAAGTTTTCCCAGTCGTGTAGCTCATGCCTGCTTCGGGTTTATTGGATAACATTTTAGCATCAGATACATGTCCTACTTCCAAAGAAGTGTTCCAGGATTGAGGGAGATTGGATTCCCCTTGAATAGAATTAATGAGGCACTCATCACCAATATCTGCTTGGATGACATGACATCCTAAATGATGGTGTTCTGTGTCCTTCTCTTCTAGGAAGTGGTCATCTGGTTCAATACCAATAACTTCAAAGTGAGATTGATTGTCATCTTCCTCTTCAGCATAAATATGATTGATCTTCTTCCTGGAGTTAGGGCAGTCTGCTTTTCTGTGCCCTTTTTCTCCACAATTATAGCATTCTGCTGTTACTGGTTTCTTGATAGGATTGTCATTTCTGGCTGAAATATCTGAGGTTTTGCTAACAGTGCTACTATTTTTATCATCTTTAGGATTAATAGTGGGAACTTTGTTTTTTCTATTCAAACCCATCATTTCAACAACTTCTTCCATAACTTCAATGAGTTCAGATATATCTACATCCATGTCTTTCAGTCTGCATCTGACGGCATGTTCCATATTTCCTCTACATTGACTGAGAAGTTTGTCATTGACCAATATCCTAGTTTGATTCTTATAAATACAATCAATCCTCTTTTTCTGAGCAATGCACCAATCATGAGGATCATCTCTTGTGGGGTCAAAGTAATCTGACTCAAATAATCTACACATCTTTTTCTCCCAGAGTCTAGTACCATATTTGGCTTTAATCAATTCCTTCCAGGTGTCCCAAGATTGTACTCCAAGGGATTCAGTTTTCTCAATAAACCACTGATTAGCACCTCCTTTAAATAATCCTGGAAGTCTAGAAGTAACTAACTCATCTGGGGCATTGTAAGTCCTCAGTATATGGTCTAAGTATTTGATAAAACTGATGTGATCATAATCTCCCTTTCCTTCAAAGGTGGGCCAGTCTTTCAAGGGTGGTACCATTTTATTAAGAATGTTAAGGTCAAGGGTATTAACAGTGCGGGGTCTAACGCTTGTTCCTTCATTGACTCCCCTAGAGTTGTCAGGGATTCTAGCACTAGATTCTTCTTTATCATCATTACTTTGGTAATTACCTGGGAACCTGTCACTAGGGTCTCTGTTATTACCAGAAAACATTTGGTTATTGGGAAGAGGGTTTATCTTCTGCAGTGGAGACCCTTTCTCTTCATTGGCAAATGGATTGTTGAAATGAGGGGTTCTATATTGTTGCTCATGTTCAATGTTAAGATAAGGGTTGTTAAACTTGGGTGAAACATAGTTTAATCTAGGTGAAGTTAAATTTTTCATGTTTCTTAATTCAGTCCTCACAGATTCTAGCTGGGTTACAAAGGAACTGTTAACACCTGTTATAGTATTGTTAAGCATATTATTTTGTTGTATTAAGAGCTCTTTTATTTCATCAAATTGTTTTTTGTTTTTGAGCTGTTATTCCATAATAACTTCTTCTTTCACGGTAGAGATTATATTATCCCCACTAGAAAGCGTAACAGTCTCAATTTTATCTAGTCTTTCCTTGACTGTGATTATTTCTTTATAGTTGTCACTAATCATGCTGATAATAGCATCTAACTTATTATCCATCTCATCATTACTCTCCTTGACCGGACTTCTTTTTGCTTGTAAGGACAATTTCAAAGCAGTCTCAATGGAATTTCTCAGGCTCTCATGGGAATTTTTTATCAGTTTAACGAGTGACTTATGATTAAATTCAATGTTGTAATTAATAGTATGGAGGTTCTCCTGTACATTGAGAGTAGCAGAAAAAATAAAGTTTAAGGAGGAAGTGCCTTGCGGGAGCGTTGTCTGTAAGCCGCTCTCCAGGCCTGACCTATCTCGAAGACGTCCGCCCAGACCCGAGGATCGTCGTATTGCTGGGCTTTCCTCGAGGTTGAGCTCTTCTTCTTGCCCTCTTTCTTCGGTGGTGGAGGGAATAATTCTCGTTTGGCGTCCCAGGGGTTCCATCCCTTGACGTATCCTTCGAGCTCTTCTTTGGTTATCAATTTCTGTAGCGCTTTCTGAGATTCTTGCGCTTGGTGAATGATAGTCTTGAGCTCGTTGGTTACTCCCGAGGCTTTCTCTTTCTCGAAGTTCTTCCAGATGGCGACGTGCTCCTTGACCAAGAAGCAAATCTTCTCTTTCTTGGTCATAGTCACTATTTCTGGGCTGTCTTGGCGTTTCTGGGTATCCTCCGAGGATGTCGATGGATCGTCGAGATCCATGGCTTCTTCGTTCCTCTTGTTCTGAGAGTCTGAAGGGTTCGCGTGGTTGGTCTTGGTCGGAGCAACGGTGCCACAGAGACGATACGATACGGTATCAGGCGTTTATCTGTATCGTCTCAGAATTGGAATACCCAAAAATACCGGATTTGTGTTGTCTCACTTTCCTGAGACATATACATGTATCGTATTTGAAAAGTGAGAAATGTATTCTGTATCGTCTCAGATGACTGATCCCACCAAAACCGTATTTGATACATAAGATATTTGGCTGTATTGAAGAAAAAACGAAAAAAACAAAGACGATTTTTTTTTTTCATTTTTAAATCCAAATCCGATACAATGTATTTTTTCACCAACCAAGGAAATACTGATACCGGTATCAGGCTCAAAATAAATACGATACGATCCGATACAAATACATGTCTCGTATCTGTGGCACCGTTGGTCGGAGACTCGATCGTCTCTATTGTCTTCTTCTTTATCTGGAGCCTGCTGAGTTGACGAACTCGCTCCTCTAGAGGTTGCTCGACTCTTTGACCGAGTAGGAGCTGGGAGAGGTCCGATGAGGTCTGGTTGCGAGGATCTGGTGGACATAGTGGAGATAAGAGTGAGTCTAGTTAGTTCTGGGTTGATCTGGTCCTAGGTTAGTTTTACTCACAATTGAGTAAGTCTTCTAGTTCGTCGACTGATGTATCTTCTGGATTGCTGATATTCTCAGGAGAGAAGGTATTAGCCGGATCGCTAATGTGGTTATTCGCTACGGTGACGTTGTTGGCTGAGGTCGCGTTGGATACTGAGTTCACTGTAGAGTCAAGGATGAGCTTACAGATACAGAGGTAAGAGAGGGGGCGACCAGGTGAGGTATTAGCTTACTCTCGATAGTCTTTCTTTTTCGCTTATATTCCTTGAATTCTCAAATAGTCTCGTTGATGAGAAGTTGAGCAGTTAGAGTATCGTCTTGTTCTCGGTGGATACGAGCGATGGCGATCTGTAGACGTTCTTCTTGACTGAGTAGTTCCCAATCGGTAGGTTTATAGTTTCTAATGAATTCTTCTTTCCTAAGTCTTAAGAATCGGAGATAGTATTGGATCAGTTCGGCTTTTTCGCTGAGATTCACTGATATAGAATAATGAGAGAATGAAACAGGAGAAATAAGTGTTTTTGTTTCGGTTTTTCTATTTTATTAACTTTTTAAGTGGTTTTCTGTATTTTACTATTAGAGATAGCACGATATATTAGGTAAAGAAGAAATATATATATTCTTCAGAAGAGAAAAAGATGAATCGATTCGATATATGAATCCAAGGGGAGTAACTCTCAGGGGTTAAAGACCAATGGTTGAGAGAAGTGAGTCGGTCGGTCTGGGTTTTTTTTTTTTTTTTTTTTTTTTTTATATAGACCGAGCCGCTAGAGAGAATAGTAAATCTTTGGATGAGAGCAAAGAAGGTAACTGATATCGAGAATATCTTATCAATCAATGTTAGAGATAGATAGTGAAGGATGAGGCTGGGAAGAAAGATAATTTCCCGGCCAGACCCCCAGTTGTCAGCCGCGGTGATGCCAAGACACTAAGTCTTCTAGCTACACCGGGTGATGGGGTGGTTTGGTAGTGAATAGATATAGAGAAAACCGAGGGGCCCAGGTTATGGGGGTTTTTACGGTGCCCTCGGGGATACGAGCCTAGTCTAATATGTCGACTGGTAGCGGCTACGGCGGGGTCTCGGCAAGAGGCGAGGGTATTCGGTCCGCGTATCAAGAAATAGAGAGGTTGTTTTAGAGCCAAGGAACTGTACTTACTTGAGTAGGGGTCTCCTCAAGTACGAAGCTGTCCGAAGCTCAGGCGGCGGTGGGATCCAAGGGCGACGAAGTCCTGTTTAGCTCGGAGCTGAGAGTCTACGCGGGATCAGGGATATCGTCCGACTGGTTTGGAGTTCCTAGTTGAAGTTTTAAGAAGGAGATCGAAATGTTAGTGAGGCGGATTGAGGGTTTGTTTACGAGGTGGTTCTGAAAGGACGAAATGGATACTTGATGCCCCTTGATTACTGACCTGAGCTGGCTTTTATCCTCATTGGGTCCGGTACCGATAGCGTATGGGAAGTCGTTTAACGATGCATAGCAAAGCTCCATCAAACTCGCCCTTCAGGTGATCAAAATAATATATCAATTCAAAACACTCAAAAATAAAATCTTGATTCAGAACACTAAACTACAGAATTGCTTGTAGAACCTGTCTAGCTGTCATTTGTTGATCTTCATGACATAATATTTTTATTATAAAAGAATATTCAAAGGATTTGCCAATTGGATTGAAGAACCTGGTATCTTGGGCAACAAATGGGCAGAAATCCGGATTGTAGCTGCTTGCTTCATGCCATGGTCAAGCGGAGCCTAGCAGGTTCATGAGTACAACACCAAGAGACCAGATATCATTTTGAAACATATAGTAAGAGGAGCCAAGACATTCTGGGTCGTAATTGTATGACGATCAATAAAACAATTTGATGCCGGAAAATCCAATCATTATCGCAGACATACCTGGACTCTTGTATGCTCTTGTGCCACACGAGTTTGTGCTGTAACGGAGGTCAGTTGCAAGTCCGAAATCGGCAAGATAAACCTGATCAAAACCACAGGGCCTTAATAAAAAAACGCGGTTTTTCCGCGTTTTGACGCGGTTTTAATGCGCCGCAGCACACACGGTTTCCGCTTTTAGATGCGGTTTCGTAATTAATTTTTTATGGGTTATTTTTTGACTTTTTTTGAATTTTTAAAATTGTTTCCTAGGTTTCAAAGCGCGTAGAATTTAATGGTAAAAACCATTTTCCATAAAAATGAATTTTGATTATTGATTTTTTTTTCCACTTATCCAAGTATATTAAAGTCAGTGATTTACAGAAAACAAAATCAAGGGTTTCCCCTTACAAATGGGTAAAATGCAAAAAAACTCAAAGGTTTGCCCTTCTAACAAAAAATAGAAAAAAAAGACATGACTTAAAGCTAAAGACAATAATTTTTTACAAAAAAAGTGAGAAGAAAAAATGGCCCCCCAACACCAGCCCCCCAACACCAGCAAAGCTGGAGCACTTGGACTCAGAGGCCAGCCCATGTCTTGCATGGGTCAAAACCTCTGGGCATGAAGGCCCCCATCCAACTGCAAAGGCAGAGGACAAGTGGGGGGCCAGCTTGTTAGCCCCTCAGACTGTGCAAGTGCAACAGTGGAGGGGGATGAGGACATCTTGGTCATTGGAATTACAACAACCTCGACACCTGAAGAAGCTTCCTAACAGCTTGAAGCCCTCTCTTATATAGCAGCAGTTGACTCTTGCCAGTAGTCCTTAGCCCAGAATTTCAGCCTTCTGTCGTCATTCCTCAGACTGCCATGTGGTAACACTCCAGACAACCAACAACCTCTGTCACCGCATGGCACACCTAAGAGAACCTCAAACTTAGCAACCCAGTCATCCCAGCCTTGTCCATCGATGAAACCATCCTTCAATTCAACCACCAGATTATGACTTGAAAACATCCTCAGCAGTCTACCTCGAAACATCTGTCTCTTCTCTTGCGGTCCCACTACTGTTTTTAGGTAAGCTAAAACAATATTGATCTGTTGGATTGCTTATGCTCCTTGTGCACTTGTCAACTGTGTTCAGCAAGGCTACACCTCTCCCTCCCCTCTAGAACCGGTCGGTTCCAGAGAGAAGGGAGGCAACACTTCTCCTTTCCCTCTAGAACCGGTTGGTTCCAGATGGGAGGGAGGCCACACCTCTTCCTTCCCTCCAGAACCGGTCGGTTCCAGATGGGAGGGAGGCCACACCTCTTCCTTCCCTCCAGAACCAGACGGTTCCAGAGAGAAAGGAAGAGACACCTCTCCCTTCCCTCCAGAACCAGTCAGTTCCAGAGAGAAGGGAGGAGACACATCTTCCCTCCCTCCAGAAACTGTCGGGTCCCTAGAGAAGGGAGGAGACACCTCTCTCTCTCCTCTAGAAGCCGCTCTGGTCTTGAGAGGAGAGAGGAGACAACTCTCTCTTCGCTCCAGAACCAGTCGGTTCTAGAGAGAAAGGAGAAGTGTTACCTCCCTTCTCTCTGGAACCGACTGGTTCTGGAGGGGAGGGAGGAGACACCTCTCTCCTCCCTCCAGAACCAGTCGGTTCCAGAGAGAAGGGAGGCTACACCTCTCCCTTTGCTCTAGGACTGGTTTTTTCGAGTGGGAATGGAGGCTACACCTCACCCTTTCCTCCAGAACTGGTCGGTTCCTGGGAGAAGGGAGACTACAAATTTCCCTTTGCTCTAGGACCAGTTGTTTCCTGGGGCAAGTGAGTCTGAAACTATCCCTTCCCTGCAGAACTGGGTGGTTCCAGGGGGAAGACAGGCTACACAAATCACTCCCATCTTGAACCGGTTGGATTTAGAGGGAAGGGATGCTAGAACTCCACTCTTATTTCAGAACCAAACAGCTCTTGAGGTAAGGAAGAGGTCTAGCATCCCTTCCCTATGAAACCTACAGGTAGTTCTAGACTAAAGGGAGAATTTAAAAAAGATAACTTAGTGGATCTGAAAATTAATAATTTTAGACATGGTTGATTTTTTAGATGAATTAGATAAATATTGATACAGATTTAGTGAGCCACAGGCATTCTCCATTCTAAATTCACAGTGTTAAGCTCAAAATACACAGTGGTAGAAGTTTATAAGGATCCAAATATTTAGTTACATAATTCTTGTTATTGGTTTGAACAGTTTATAATGGTGACTTGATTAGAAGCTAAAATTTGCACAGGTCAATCTTTGACATTTCAATGAGCTGCATATGTTAGTTGGAATTTATTAATGGTAATTCTTCTATTGGGTTCCAAATGAAATGATTCATGAATGTTGGAGCTGTAATTCATTATCTATGAATTCACCATTTGAAGTAACCTATGCTAAGTTTTTGAGGGTTGAATCTTTTATATTATAATGATAAATTACATCAAAAATTATTGGATGATTCACAGATCAGAATTTGAACTGGAAGTGAAAATAAGGCTTTGTTTATCTACAATGATTGATCATTTATCCGCCTCTTGGAATATATCTATACCTACACAAGTACAGCGGCGCAGCCGCCCTGATCTCTAGTTTTTCAATTAATTGTTTGCATGCATGTATGTACGTTATTTTTTATGCTTTTTTGAAATTTTAAAATTATTTCCTAGGTTTCCATGTGTTTAGAATTTAATGGTGCAATCCAATTTTTTTAAAACTCGACGGTTCATTTTTAATACTGAAATTAGACCCATTTTTTCACTTAATTTTTTACAGCTTAATTCTCATCATTTTTTGACATTTTAAATTTATTTCCCACACTTTAAGACATGTAGAAAATGATGGTAACAACCATTTTTCCCCAAAATGAAAACTATACCTTGAATGCTGCATTGGACACGTTTTTTTAATTAATTCCTCACTTTTTCACCTAATTGTTTGCATACATGTGTGTACCTTATTTTCTATGCTTTTTTGAAATTTTAAAGTTGTTTCCTACATTTAAAAGTGTATAGAATTTAATGGTAATATTCAATTTCCATAAAACTCAATGGTTCATTCTGAAT